GGCTTCAAAACACCATACAACAATACAATACCTAAAGCAAATTAAAATCAGTTAAGCAGTATAACAACACACAATAAACAATACATCAAGATACTATCAAACTGGGCCGGGCCAGAGTAATGGGTACAAGATTAAAAGTGCTGATGTGGCAGGAGATATGTAGGATTATAAAGTAAGTGCAGTGTGCAGTGTGCAGCAATCTTAATTCTACTAAAGTGCTTCTAGTATTGGAGATTCCTAATCTGAGAAGGCACATCGGAACAGCCAAGTCTTCAAGTTCTTTCTGAAGACTGCCAGTGTAGGGGCCTGTCTAAGATCTTTTGGGAGGGCGTTCCAGAGTCGGGGGGTCACCACAGAAAAGGCCCTGTCTCGAGTCCCCACCAAGCGTGATTGTGACACAGGCGGGATCACGAGCAGGGGCTCTCCAGATGACCGAAGTGAACGCGTGGGTTCGTAGACGGAGATGCGGTCACGCAAGTAGGGTGGTCCCAAACCATTCAGGGCTTTGTAGGTAAGCACCTGCACCTTAAATTGGGCTCAGAAAATAAACGGCAGCCAGTGGAGCTCCTTGAACGGGAGGGTTGACCTCTCTCTGTAATGAGTCCCGGTTAACATCCTGGCTGCTGCCCGTTGGACCAGTTGGAATTTCTGAGCCGTTTTCAAAGGCAGCCCTACGTAGAGCGCATTGCAGTAATCCAATCTAGAGGTGACCAAGGCATGGACCACCCCGGCCAGATCAGCCTTCGCGAGGTACGGTTGCAGCTGGCGCACAAGTCTCAATTGTGCAAAAGCCCTCCCGGACACCGCCGATGCCTGAGCCTCAAGCGTGAGCGATGAATCCAAGAGGACTCCCAAACTGCGGACCTGTGGCTTGAGGGGGAGTGTAACCCCGTTCAACACAGGTTGCCACCCTATACCCCGATCCGGTTTGCGATCAACCAGGAGGACCTCTGTCTTGTCAGGATTGATCTTCAGCTTGTTTCTCCTCATCAAGATAGACACAGCGGCCAGGCACTCGTCCAGCACCCGAGAGGCCTCCTTGGAATTCGGTGGAAAAGAGTAGTAGAGTTGTGTGTCATCTGCATAGAGATGGCACCCAACTCCAAAACTCTGGATGACCTCTCCCAGCGGTTTCATGTAGATGTTAAAAAGCATGGGAGACAGAATAGAGCCTTGCGGGACCCCACAGGTCAAAGGCCAGGGGTCCGAGCAGGCATCTCCCAGCTTCACCATCTGGGTTCGTTCCTCCAGGAAGGACCGGAGCCACGACAAAACCGCACCCCCAAGACCCATCCCAGAGAGACGACCCAGAAGAATACCATGATCGATGGTATCGAAAGCCGCTGAGATGTCCAAGAGAACCAACAGAGTCACACTCCCCCTGTCCAGCTCTCTACGGAGGTCATCCACCAAGGCGACCAAGGCTGTCTTGGTGCCGTGACCAGGCCTGAAACCAGACTGTGACTGATCTAGGTAGTTGATATCATCCAAAAAGCCCTGGAGCTGGGAGGCGACCACCCGCTCCAGCACCTTACCCAAAAAAGGGAGGTTGGAGATCGGTCTGTAATTGTTCAGCACCGTGGAGTCAAGGGAAGCCTTTTTGAGGAGTGGACGAACCATAGCCTGTTTCAAATTAGATGGAAAAATCCCTTGCTTCAACGATGCGTTAATGATCAACACAAACCAATCAACCAACCCCTCCCTGGCCGATTTAATTAACCAAGATGGGCAAGGGTCTAGAGCCGAGGTGGTCACCCTCACAGCCCCAAGGACCTCTTCCACAGTCTCAGGAAGAACAAGCCTAAAAGATTCCCACAAAATTGGACAAGCAGATGCCTCAGTCACCTCATCTGGTACTGTGATGAATTGGAGTCGAGCTCAAGGCGTATCTGAGCAACTTTGCCTGCAAAATGGTGTGCGAACTCACAACACCGAGTTGCTGGGTCGTCGAAGGTCTCTTCCATCACAGGTGGATGAAGGAGTTCCCCGACAACCCGAAACAACTCCGATGATCTATTTGCTGCAGACGCTATACGGGTGATCGTGAAAGATTCCCTGGCTACCTGTATGGCCACGGAGTATGCCTTAAGAGAGGCTTTAGCCCATGTTTGGTCAGACACGTCCCGAGATCTCCTCCACTTGCGCTCTAGCCCCCTTCTCGTGTGCTTCATCACAGCCAGCCCCCCAGTGAACCAGGGAGACGGCCTGTCACGACGCAACAAGATGGGGCGTTCGGGAGCGATCGTATCTATCGCCCTGGACATCTCCCTATTATAGAGATCCACCAAGGCGTCGATAGAATCACCAGGCTCCATGGCAGGAAGAACCCCAAGATTCCTCAGGAATCCATCTGGATCCATCAGTCTCCTGGGGTGGACCATCTTAATCTGTCCTCCACCCCTGCAAAGGTTGAGGGTCGCAGAAAGTCTAAAACTGATCAGATAGTGATCAGACCATGACACCGGAAGGATGTTTTGTTCTTCCACTCTGATCATTCCACTGTCCACCACAAAAACTAGGTCGAGTGTGTGTCCAGCATGATGGGTGGGTCCAGATATGATTTGTGACAGTCCTATGGTCGTCATGGCGGCCATAAAGTCCTGAGCTGCGCCGGACAAGGTCTCAGCATGGATGTTAAAATCTCCCAGCACCACTAAGTGCTGGGAAGCCAGGGCCGAATTGGAGACCACCTCTGCTAGCTCAGACAGGGAGACTGCTGGGTCGCGGGGTGGGCGGTACACCAGCAGAAACCCCACACTGTCACGGTTCCCCACCTTCAGGTGGACACACTCGAACCCTGCGGAACAGCGCATCTGACCACGGCGATGGATTGCCGAAAGACTACTGCGACCCCTCCTCCCCGCCCCCCCCCTGTCTGGCCTGCTGATGCACTCCGAAACCCGGTGGACATAGCTGAGTGAGATTTATTCCCCCCAGCTCATCCAACCAGGTCTCAGTAATGCACGCCAGATCTGCCCTCTCATCCAGGATCAAGTCCTGAATGGCAGTGGTCTTACCATTGACAGATCTAGCATTAATCAGCAGGACCTTAAGACCGAGGGGATTGCCATGGGGCCTACCACTTCCTACCTTCTCCATGGTCTCAAGAACCCTGGAGAAGCACTTCTCCCTGGGGCGTTGGTGACCAGCAAATCTCCTCCCCCACACAACCTGAATGGCGCCCCCTCCTCCGGACCCCCCTCCCGCCCTACATGGTTGGAATCTGGCTAGTCAGCTCTCAGAAGAAGTAAGGCTGGAATATAGCCTCCCTTGGGTTTCAGGTAAGGATGTTTCCGATGTTAAGGTGGACAGAGAATCAGCGAGGGAACTGAGTGGGCTGAACAGGGGGAGTGTTCTTGGGCAGGAAAGTGTGGCTGATTATGTGGAGACAACTGGAGCAGATGGGGTCTCAAATTGGTACAAACCAGGAGGGGAGGCCCTAACCTGAGAGCTATCTGTGGATTTATCACGGGGACCTGATGGAACAAGTACCACTGGTTTAGTACATACATGGCAGCTCTCACTTTTCCAATGATTCAGTCTATATAACCAGGCTGCACAAGTGGAACTGTGTCCATAAACACTGGACAAGCAGGGACCACCCTCATGGTGATTAGAACAAGAAGAATTCAATTGGGGATTCCATTAAAATCCTCGTAAGCTTGATATGTCTTTCTGAATCCTGCAACTCCCTTTAATCTTAGATAAATGTCATTCCCACCTTAGCACTATTGCTCAAGTAATGTTTTGTACTATCAAGACACATTTGGAAAGCATTCAACTCTTCCTTTTAGAATTTCAAATTCCATGTGGCAGCTGCTCTCTCTATGCATCATTCTCCTTGCAAGATTGACTTCCACCTCGACCCCAAGAACAAAGAATGGTCAGGGGCTGTAGACCACATTAGAATATGTTGACGCAGCACAATCTGCAAGTTCCAAAGAGCATTGCTCCCTGGGATATTTTAGACCCCCAAAAGACCTCAATTCCATGGGTCTAAGAGGAACTGTTGAACAATGTCCAGGAGGGGGAATAAATGTGGTTTTAGTAATCCCATGCTTCCCAAGAACATTAGACTATTTTGGATGTTTTCTTTTTTTTAAAAAAAATGAATGAATGAATGAATTTTGAGAGGGTTGGGGCCAAAAAATACATAAAAGGTGTACTCTAGTTAACATTTTCTTTTACACTTCCTTATCTTTATATCTTTATGTTTTATTGTTTTATTGCTATATGATGTATTGTATTGCTTTTTGTAAGCTGCTCTGAGTCCTCCCTGTGGGAGAGAGAGTGGGATAGAAATACAGTAAATAAATAAAATAAATCTTTCAGTGCTCTTCCACTTCCCTAGTTTTTATTAAAGAAGCTGCTTCACCTAACGTATTCACATTTCCTATTTACATTCAAAGCTAGCATTCATGGGCTGTCCATACCTTCCAATCTCACCATTCCTTCAAATTATTCCCTAATTTCACTTCTTCTCACAGTTTCTGCATATTGTCCTATCCTCTTTCTTGTTATTTAGCATGTCTGTTTAGTAGTAGCCGCCACCACCACCACCACCACCAGGTAATTGGTAATAATGAAAATATTGAACAACAAAGAAAACATGAAAATAGTTCTCAAAAATTTATGCTGCTGATTTAGTTTAAGAAATCCCAGTAAAGAACTAATTCCCAAAGCCCCAGCTGCCTGTGGTATCACTTAATTCACAAAACCCTTTTCCAGGATTCCACGGGGGAGTCAGAAATACAGCTATAGGGATGAAGATCAGAGTCTGGATAGACTGAGATCTGCTTGAAATGGGTCCAGACTGAGATGTAAGTTGTATGTCTAGCAAACACGTCAGATTTTTTTTTCATTAGTATTCATAACCGATATTTTGTCCCCATGCAAATCTCACCGGCATGTATAGAACTTTGCATTTGATCCAATCAAGAGAAGCATTGTAAAGGCACACAACAAACATTAACATAATGGTGTATGATAAAATATCTCACCCGAATCTTCAAACTCATTATTGTAAGTATTCCAGGTCTCACTTATGCGAAGTAGGCTCTCCTCCATAGCTTGAATATCCATATATGGACAGTTGCATTCTGGGAATTTGGGACCACACTGACACCAACAATCGTTGTCCTTGCAGATAAATTCCCCTTCTGAGTTGCAAGCAATGTAGCTCAGAGCTGCCTGCACAAAACGTTCTTGCAAATATTCAGGTAGGATAAGCTGAAGACCTTAATGAAGGGGGAGGAAGGTGGAAAAGAAATATTCTGTCTTACTAAACATGATGATTACTTTTGAACAATTACTACAATCTTCACTAAAATCAATACATAAGTTTGTCAAATATATTCACATATGTCACTAGCAACAGATTTTTAATGGTTCACAACAACAGTTTCATTATTTGCAATATATAGATAGCAAGCCAGGAGAAAAGAAAAAAATAGATTTTTTTTTCATTTTGTTGCCTAGAGGGGGGTTGCATGCTTTCATTTATTCTGTCAGGAGCAGACCAAACAGTTGCACTGCATTTTATAACAAACAAACAAACAAACAAACAAAACACAAAGTTTGCAAGCTTGGTAGTTTATTAAATGTCCTTTGACCAGTAGCTGGCCACTTGGAGTGCCTCTGGTGTTGCTGCAAGAAGGTCCTGCATTGTGCATGTGGCAGGGCTCAGGTTAGATTGCAGCAGGTGGTCTGTATTTTGCTCTTCTCCACACTCGCATGTCGTGGATTCCACTTTGTAGTCCCATTTCTTAAGGTTGGCTCTGCATCTCATGGTGCCAGAGCGCAGTCTGTTCAGCGCCTTCCAAGTCACCCTTTTCTGTGTGCCCAGGGGGGAGTTTCTCATTTGGTATCAGCCATTGATTGAGGTTCTGGGTTTGAGCCTGCCACTTTTGGACTCTTGCATACTGAGGTGTTCCAGTGAATGTCTCTGTAGCTCTTAGAAAACTATTTGTTGATTTAAGTCATTGACGTGCTGGCTGATATCCAAACAGGGAGTGAGCTGAAGATGTCATTGCCTTAGTCCTTTCACTATTGGTTGCGACTTCCTGGCAGATGTCAGGTGGTGCAATACCGGCTAAACAGTGTAATTTCTCCAGTGGTGTAGGGAGCAGACACCCCGTGATAATGTGGCATGTTTCATTAAGAGCCACATCTACTGTTTTAGCGTGGTGAGATGTGTTCCACACTGGGCATGCATACTCAGCAGCAGATGTCTTCACAGTGACTTGTTGTGATCCCCAGGTTGTGCCAGTCAGCTTTCGTATGATATTATTTCTAGCACCCATTTTTTGCATGATATTCAGGCAGTGCTTCTTGAAGGTCAGAGCATGGTCCAGAGTAACTCCCAGGTATTTGGGTGTGCTGCAATGCTCCAGTGGGATTCCTTCCCAGGTAATCCTCAGAGCTTGGGATGCTTGTCTGTTCTTAAGGTGAAAAGCACATGCCTGTGTTTTAGATGGATTAGGGATCAGTTGGTTTTCCCTGTAGTAGGCGGTAAGGGCCTTCTACAGGGCCTAGAGCTTCGGAGAGCTTCTGTTCAACCATCTCAAAGCTCCCTGCTTGAGCGGTAATGGCACGATCATCAGCATAGATGAAACTCTCTGTCTCTTCTGGCAGTGGCTGGTCATTTGTGTAAATGTTGAACACTGATGGAGCAAGCATGCTCCCTTGAGGCAGGACGTTCTTCTGTTTCCACCATCTGCTTCTCTGGCCCTGGAACTCAACAAAAAAGCTCTGGTTTTGTAGCAGGTCTCCTATGAGGCAAGTGAGGTGGTAGTCCTTTGTAATATTATATATTTTTCTCAGGAGGAGGTGGTGGCTTACAGTATCATAAGCCGCTGACAGGTCTATGAAGTCAGCTCCTGTGATCTGCTGCCTTTCAAAGCCTTCTGTGTGCTGAGTCAGGTTCAGCACTTGCAATGTGCAGCTTTTGCCTTTCCTGAAGCCAGCTTGCTGTGGAATCAGATATGGGTCTATTTTTTCCATAATTCTATGCAAAATAAGTCTCTCCAGAACTTTGTAAAGGTGGCACAACAGGGAGATTGGTCAATAGCTTTTTGGATTATTATGGTCGTTGCCTGGTTTCAAGATGGCTATGACTCTTACTTTCCTCCAGATTTTGGGGATCTGACAGGATGCAGTGCAGTTGTTCATCAGCTCCAGCAGCCAGCACCTTGCTTTTGGGACAAAGTTCTTGATTTTTTTTTCCATCCGTAGATCATCCAGGCCAGCTGCTTTGCCATTTTTACATTTATTGAGAGCCATGTCCAATTCAGTAGATGTAAAAGGTTCATGAAGGTTGTTGTTCTCAATATCTGGTTGTCTGGCTATTGGTTTCTTTCCTACTTTGGTGGCAAGGTGGGTTTCCCATTCTTTAAGAGTTGGTGTGGTATTAGTTTGTGAGGGGTCATTGCTCAACCCTCTTAGCAGCCTCCACGCCTTCTTGCTGCTCCTTCTTGTGTCAACTTCTGTGATCAGCTTTATCCACTGTTCTTTCTTGGCTTCAGAGATGGAGGACACAATGTTCTGCTCTGCCTGAAGGATTTTCTCATGAAATGGGTCTTCGTTGTTGAGCCTGTAATAGTTTTCCAGCAAGGCAGCTGTTTCAGGAGTAATGCCTTGAAGGTAGTTGGTTCTGCAGTCTCTCGGTATAGAGACCCGTGAGCAGGTTTTCACTATTTCAATGAAGTGTTCGTATTTCTCAGGGATTGGTATGACCGATATGATCATGTCATCTAACATGTCTGAGACTTTAGTCCAATCTGCCTTTCTGAAGTTGAATCTTAGTTTAAATCAAACTTTATGGGGCCATATAGTTGGAAACAGTTGGTATACTATTGGTTGGTGCTGTGTGTTTGGAATTGGTGGTCCCACTGATTTAGTGCATTGCTGTACAATGCTGTCGCTCACAAATAAGGTTGCATGCTTAAAGTGATAGAAAAGAACTGTAAGGCCAATTTTAAATGAACACAAATATGTATTAACAATTATTTAGGAACAATTCTATTTAACATAATGGCTAAGATTCTGCATTATGGAGGCACTGTAAATGGTTCTCATCAAACTAACGTCCTGAAGCTGGGGGAAGGTGGGGGCATCCATTGGGGCAGCAGGGCAAATCTGGTGGGCAGTGTGGGAACCATCGCCCTACACACCACATCAACCACATCATCCCCTTCTTTATCCCATAGGATGGGGTAAGTATCACCACCTGGCTTCCTGTGGTTTCTCCATTCTATTGAATGAGAACATGGGAAGCCTCCTGTGTTTTCAGGGCTTCTTTTGTAGGATGGTTCCAGCACAGTTTATGAATGGAGCCCCGCTGGAAGTAGCTGTGCGTCATCTGATGGGATCCAGCAGGTTCCATCCATGAACTATGTTTGAAGAATCCTGTGATTGATAAGAAAGCCCATGTGATGAAGTCATAAGTCTGTCCTATCACTTTTAAAGGAGCCCCCAGTGGCGCAGTGGGTTAAACCCCTATGCCAGCAGGACTGAAGACCAACGGGTCGCAGGTTTTAATCCGGGGAGAGCACGGATGAGTCATGATCCCAGTGACCAGTAAACATATTAGAAGCAATAATGCAGGAAATCCTACTGCAGAATAATATCAAAAAAACAACAAAAAACCAATCAATCCAATCAACTACATAGTCTATATTAGCAGATGTCATTTTGCAATATCATGGCATCAAGAACTTAAGAACAGATGTCTTAAATAAGCAACAGGCCAATTCACAAGGCCTGTCCTAGTATTTATTTATTTGATTGATTAATTTATTAATATCCCACCCTCCTCACCCAAGGGGACTCTGGCAGCTCACAACAAAGGCACAATTTGATGCCTTGAACACATATCAACATAAAATCAACATATATATTAAAATCACATAATTAAAACATATCAATTAAAACAATTAGTTAAAATCAGTGTACCTGATCCTACGCTCCCCTCCCCACAGCACCACTGGCTGCTACACAAATATTTCCTGCATGGAGAATGCTATTTTCTGTGCAAATCCACCATGTACAAATTTTATGCAGAATATGCTCATCATTACAGTATTTTCTGCACAAGAATTTACTTGTTTTGCTTCCTACACAAAAAATGCTGTCTGTTGCACAAAACAGTCACCTTTTTCAGTTCACATTTTTTCCTGTTAGTTTTTTTTTCATCAAAATTATGTTCTTTTTCATTCCTAATTTTGTGATATTCCATGGGCACATAAGCTCATTATCTACATATAAATTTAATGTCATAAATGTTAGAATACATGTGAAACATTCATCCTATGGAAGGATGAATGTTTCACATCCTTGTCACAGGACATGACACAGATATGTTCAAGTTCCAATTGGCTATGTTTACCCCCACATTCTCTTTGCCACAATCCATATAACAGAATAGGGAGGTGGTTTTTCTACATAGCAGTGATCATTGATTTTAATATAAAAATTGAAGAATGGAAGGCAATCAATCTTTTATTTATTTATTTATTTATTTATTTATTTATTTATTTATTATTCAAACGTATATGCTGCCACTCCCCTGAGGCTCGGGGCAGCTTACAAGAACAGGCTAAAATCTAACGCAATTTTAAAACAATTTAAAACAATTTAAAAACAACAATATCAAAAATCAAAGGCCTGTCGGAACAGATATGTCTTACATGCTCTGCGGAAAGCTGATAAGTCCTGCAAGGCACGGACTTCAGGTGGCAGAGTATTCCAGAGTGATGGTGCCACTGCTGTAAAGGCTCTGTATCTGGTTGCTGTTAGACGCAAGGTCTTCACATTGGGAATTTCCAACAAATCTTGGCCCTCAGAACGGAGGGATCTCTGGGGTTGGTAGGGGGTGAGGCGGTCCCTCAGGTACATCGGCCCCAGACCATGCAAGGCCTTAAAGGTGAGTACCACCACTTTGAAAGTGATCCGGTGCTCAATTGGTAACTAATGCAGCTGCAGTAAGATTGATGTTATGTGGCATCTCGTCAGAATTTCCACAAGAAGCCGAGCAGCTGCATTTTGTACCAGCTTGAGCTTCCGGATCACCGACAGAGGAAGGCCAATGTAGAGGGCGTTATAGTAGTCCAGTCTTGAGATGACCGTAGCCTGGATCACCGTAGTTAGTTCGTCCCTGGACAGGTAGGGGGCCAGCCATCCAGCCTGCTGCAGATGAAAAAAAGCGGTTCTGCTAACAGCGGAGACCTGGGCCTCCATTGTCAGCAGAGGGTCCAGAAGGACTCCCAGACTCTTTACCAATGATGTCGGGCGTAGCGCCTCGCCATCCAGGGTAGGCAGCTGGATATCCCCACTGTCCGGTTGACCCAGCCATAGGATCTCCGTCTTTGCTGGATTCACCCTCAACCTGCTGGCACGCAGCCATCCAGTAATGGCCTCAAGGCACTGATGGAAATAATCGGGTACAGAGTCCGGTCGGCCTTCCATCTTCAGCACAAGTTGGGTGTCATCAGCATACTGGTAACACTCAAGCCCAAAACCTCGAGCCAGCTGAGCAAGTGGTTGCATATAAATGTTAAACAACAGAGGGGAGAGAATGGTCCCCTGAAGAACCCCACAAGATAGAGGGGACCTCTCAGAGACCAGGCCTCCCTTCTCCACTCGCTGTCCACGGTTGTGAAGAAAGGAGGACAGCCAATTTAAAGCTGTCCCCCTGACTCCAACAGCAGCAAGGCAGTGGGACAAAAGATTGTGGTCAACTGTGTGAAATGCTGCTGTGAGATCCAATAACACAAGCAGCGCTGACCCGCCCTGGTCAAGCTGGCATCGAAGGTGATCCGTGATGGAGTCTCTGTCCCATGCCCCGCACGCAAGCCGGACTGACCTAAAGGAGGAGGGGAGAGTGAGGAGGAGGATTGTTTCATGTTCACCTTGGGCTACGAAACAGCTACAGTATGTGTATTAGTTAGACAAGTAACAAATCAGTACACAACCTGTAAGTATTGATATATTTATTTAAGACATTTATTTACGGCATTTGTAGCCCGCCTTTCTCAACCTTACGGTGACTCAAGGCGGCTTACAGAAATTGGCAGAATTTGATGCCATACATTCATAGAGTACAATTAAAAACATTCAACCTAAAATAAGGGTTTGGATTATAATACTTTTAGTTCTTGTATATAATGGACATATATGTTATCTCCTCACTAAAGGACTCTTGTGTGGATAGATGAGACATCATTTTAGCATGTTTTTTAATCAATTGACATGGCCATGTGCAGATAATATAGTCCTGTATCAATTCCAACATGGCTTGCCTAAGAGAACTACCCTGTAGAATATTTCTCTTCAGGTTTCTTTAGGAAGAAAAGCAATCTTCTACTTCTCCTCCATCTCACCTCCCTAATAATTCACTATGTTTGCATCCCAATAAATTGTTATCTCTGTTCACAAGTATTTGAAATCATTGGCAATGCTTTAATAATCTGGAACACCTGATTGATTACAGACAAGAGAACAAAAGAAATGAGTTCATACAGCACTGGGGACTCTTTGTTGTTGACTGCAAGGCACTCCCACTGTTGTAATGAAACAACAGCAACAACAACAACCACATTTCTATCCCATCTTTCCCCCCAGATTTTTCTAGCTTACAACAAATAAAAAGATTTTATCAAAATCAGTAAGATAAAAAAATAAAACATAATTAAACAATTTAAGCCATGTTAAAACATATGTCATTAACCCCCCCTCCCCCCCCCCACACAAACACAAGCACAATTGGGAATATCCAGCAAATAGAGTATTCTGAAAGATGGGAACTCATGTGGCAACAGCTTATGAAAAACATAGTTGAAAACAACTTCCTTTGTCCTTTTTTCTTGTCAAGATACATAAAATTCATTGGCACCGTACACATGCACTTAAAGCTAATTTGGGGTGAAATGAAAAGAATTTTTTTGGGCTATGTGGAGCCGTTTATTCATCAAAGCAACAGTGCCTATGAAATGGTTTTAAAACGACAGCTCTGTGTGTTATGGTTTTGACTTTAGGAATCCACAGCATGTATCAAAACAGGTCTGTGATTGATGTAACAACCAATTTCCTAAGCATTTTACTGACAAATATTATGTCGAGTGCGGGGAGAGCAGCTTTCGAATGGCAAATAATTTCCATAAACACAGTGGAGATATGAGCCCCAATGAAAATGACAGGATCATCTATCAAACTGTTATATGCCCAAAAATATCAGGCATACAATGTGATATTCAAGATAGGCTGTCCTATTATGTGAGAAGTGAAGGGAAACTGTTGAGTTTATCCGTCAATTCAGTGGAAAGATAATTCTCCCTGTCTGTCCCAAGTGCTAGAAAAATTGTTATTTTTTTCAGGCAGCCCACATTCTAAACCTGTAAAGACTTCAGCACCTGGACTATCTCTATTTGAAGGCATGTTGCTGCGTTGAATTGGAAGCATTGAGATGACTTACAGAAAGGTTCCAAGTGGAATTGAATATGGCCCAGACTGCCAGAAAATTGACTGACCTTGTGTCATTCTTCATTCTGTTTTGACTTATGCTGTATATTCGCTAAAACAGTTCAAAAACTGTACACAAACAAAAAATACATTAAACATGGGATACAGATATGTGAGGCTTCTTCCCACGTGCCTTGAGAAAGTTTGCTGAATTTAATAAGTATCTTCAGGTTACTGTCGCAATAGGGCCATATCTACACTTACCACTTAGATCAGTTTGGAACCAATTTGGTACAAACAAGTTTTGCTGTGCAGATGGTTAGGTTGACATGACAGGAACCAAGAAGGCTTAAGTCCTCAATGCCCTCAGACATTAAGCATGGAAGCTGTCCTCAAATCAGTTCCATAATCTACATTTTCCCCATTTCCTGATGAGATAACTACTAGCACACCAGATGCATAAGAAACGCGATACCTCTTTCTTTGAATCTGTGAGACATATACAATCAACTGGGGAGGGCTTTTGCTCTAACCCACCACCCTCTCAAGCACGTTTGGTGAGAATACGAGAGAGGACCTTTTTGATGGCTGCTCCTAGAATGTGGAAATCTCTCCCAAGAGAAACCAGGGTGGCCTCATCCCTGCTTGCCTTCCACAAGCAGGTCAAACATTTCTGCACCAGCAGGCATTTGGGGAAGGATAAGGGGTACACTGCTGGGGAGGTGTGGGTTGGATTTGGGGATGGGTGGGTGAGTGTAATAATATAAATACAAAGACTGTGAACGTTTAAGAAAGAGTAAGCCAAAGTTGTATAGTTAATGAACAAAATTAATGTTTGTTTTTTTGACTACAATCATATGCACAATGGGCTGAATTTATCATTATGCTGATATGCTGTTATAGGCCTTTCTATCTTTTTGTATCTCCCTATCATTTGTATACCATTTGCATGCCTGCTCTCCAGAGCAGGTTTTTAAAGTGCACAGGGAACTTGAAAGGGGAATCAGAAACCATTTTTCCCAGTTCCACTGAAGATGGGAGGTCCTTCATTGGAATGAATTGAAAGTAGTTTTAAGCAGACGTATGTAAGACTTACATGTTATTTTATCTACTCAGAAGTCCAGGCAAGTCCTTTGTGGTGAACAAATGACTCCTATTTAAATGCATTTAGGATTACAGCCAGTTTTTTATACTGATTAGAGAGACTGTGCATAGATAGAGACTTTGCCAGGCTTGCTACCAACATTCTACCTGAAAATAGTTATGACATTTCCGATGCCAGCATTGCTGGGATAGGTGTTGAACAGATAAGCAGGAGAGAGCAAAAGAAGAGTAAAAATAACACATCTCAATCTAGACAATTACAATCTGTGTCAATCTAGAAAAAGTATTGCTTGTGGAGAACTAGAGGAGATGGCCAGACTAAAAGACAGAGCAAATGAATGGGAAATAGGGTAAAATGAACTCTGTTTTTCAAGATGAATTAGCTTTCCCTAATTCAAAGCTAAAGATGGAGGACACTATCATCTTTCAAAAATGTTGAACCTTTTCTCTATAAAATGCTACAGCAAAAATGTTCACCACACCAGACATAAACATTGTTCTTCATAAAATAACTCTCATTAAATTCAACAGAGCAGATATTCTGGTGAGCATGCATAGGATTACAGACTTAAAATTTAAAGTCACTGTGAAGATAACATTGGTGTGAAAAGTACCAATTGCCCTTCTGCAACCTAGTCATCACCAAGCCTATAATCTCCATTGTAAAATTATAGTTTTTATTGTGTGGGTTGAGAAGATCACGTAATGTGTCCAACTGGCATGAACTGAATTAAATGAAAGTCCAAGGAGAAGGACCCACACCATGGAGGTGCTAATTCCCAAGGCAACTCTGATATCTGGACTTCTTCTAGCTCATGGAAAATAGGGACCCATTCCACAGGTTCCAAACATCAGACCTTTCTAACATGACATGGATTTCTAATCTCTCTCTGCGAAATATGACATTCAAACTGATCCTTGACATGAATTTTTCAAACAGAAGTTTAAAGAAAATGACAGGTAGCCCTGGAAATACCTTCCTGGAAGAAATGAACAAAAGAAGTCCACCCACGTACCTTGCAACTGAATCTTATTTTCCGGACTCTGTACCAGAACAGAACTGACAGAATCTAGGTTGTCATAGTTACTGCAGCCAAGAGGACCAGTCCGGGTTTCTGTTACCTAGTAAGTAAAGGAATGGAAAACCACTTGCTGTATTATACAGAACAAACTAAGTTTCCATTACAAAACACCAGCAAAGTTCATTTTTGCATATACAAGAGGCATGGCATTTTTCCTGTAGCCTTTGAAAGAGGCTGTCATACACAGCATAATCTTGCTTGTCAGCTCATACTAATATATATTATACCTAAAGGGATAAGCATAAATAAGCAAAATCTTGGGAATTTCCACTTTTTAGAATGGGGATGGAAATTTTAACACCCTATTCAAAATATAAGTTTTCACAAGGCAAAAAATGATTAGTGGTACTTCTTGAGAAATAGCAGCTGTAGAAAACTATATTGCTACTTACTGCTGTAGATAATAAAGCAGAAAGCTAAGAGAACACCAGCATCTGGATGGGCCCCAGATAAGCTCTATGGCAGCCAAACAGCACACTGAACTGATCTGGGATGACATGGTGCAAGGCCACCTTTGTGTATCATTACCCTACATTAACCAAAGCCAGTGAATGATCTGAATTCTGGTCAAAATTTGGACCACCCCCTGACTTTGGGCCTATCTAAAAGTTTGAGCCAGTTTCAGAATAGAACATGCTGCAACAGTTCCCACTGCCATCTCATATTTCTTGGGTTCGGGTGGCTCAAGGTATAGCAATTACTGTCCTCTCCCATCCTATATGTCACATTGGTTTGTGGGGGGGGGGGATATAATTTCACTGTATATTTTTAATATCGAGTGAGTAAAATGTTTGGATGGTTCATGTGAAACTTGAAACAAAAAACACTGAGAAAATTAACAAAATCATTTTATGTGAGATTATTTATTTATTTATTCATTTCGGTTTCTTCTACCCCACCCTTCTCACCCCGAAGGGGACTCAGGGCGGCTTACAAAGGCACAATTCGATGCCAGCATCACATAACAGTAGTAAAACAAAATAACATCAATTAAACAGTTAACAGTTGAACAGTTAAAACAACAATCCTGCATTACAACCCTAAAACCAATAAAACCAATAAAACAATACAAACCCAATTACTCCTCATAGACAGTCAGCGTTCGCTATCTCATAGTCCAAATTCCAATTCCACATTGTCAGTCCTGTCAGTCCTAGTCGTTTGATTGTCCTTATCTAGTTGTCAGATTGCCCAAAGGCCTGGTCCCACAACCACATCTTTACTTTCCTCCTGAAGGAGAGGAGGGATGTTGATGCCCTAATTTCTCCCGGGAGTGAGTTCCACAGGTGAGGGGCCACCACTGAGAAGGCCCTGCTCCTCGTCCCCAACAACCTCACTTGTGATAATGGTGGGGTCGAGAGCAGGGCCTCCCCAGATGATCTCAGACTCCGGGGTGGGACGTATTTGCTCTAAGTTGTTTTTTTAATTGTGTTTCACCATTTTGAATTTACTTTTAAAATTTTATTTAGAAACCTTTTAAAAATATATCAAAATGAAATATCCAAAGCTTACTATTTTAAATCATACAGCATTTCAGTCAGAGAACTGCATATTCTTAATTCTACTCAAATTTAATTATTATCTATTTGCTATATTTTACTTTGCATTTTTGTTCATGTCAGGAGTGATTTGAGAAACTGCAAATCACTTCTGGTGTGAGAGAACTGGCCATCTGCAAGGGGACATCTGGATCCTGTCAGAGCTGACAAATGGGAGCTCAGCCCACTCCCTGGATTTCAACCACCAACTTTTCGGTCAGCACAAGGATTTAACACATTGTGCCACCGGGGGCTCCTTTTTTGAGGGTTTTTTTGGAGAGTTTTTAAAAAATTTTATGCCGATAGCACTTTGTAATTTTTAGTTGCTAGGATGATTGAAAATACTGAAAATTCTTAATTCCTAATGAAGCATAGATTTCTGCTATATACATTTGTTTTTGACTCAGCACTTTTAGATTAAAGATATTAGGTCACCACCATCACCACCATCATAGCAGCTTCCATTGTTCAAAGGTATATTCCACATATTTTTCTTTGAAAATGACATTTTGAAAATTTGCCTTCAAAAACAAAACTTTATTTCATTGTATTTAACATTCTTGTTCAATCCAGGATGGAACTATTGCAATCTATGCAAAGAGAACAAGAAGTGGTTTTTGTTTTGTTTTGCTTTTTGCTGTAATAATAATTTTTAAAAATACCCTAGGAAAAAAGCAACTTCATTCTACACACATGGATTCAGGATCTGCAAAGACAATGAACATCTGTTCTTCCTGATTTTCTTTCCCCTGCAACTTTTTTCCTTTGATAGTACTGGAAATTTCTAACTGTAAAAAGCACAACTTAGAAAAGAAGTAAACAACATTTACACTACAAACAAGTAATTTTGGAATGTTTTGCCTTTAGGGAACCACTTCTGCTTTGAAAAAAAAACCCCATAAAATTACCAAGACATTTTCCATGTTTTAGACAATTGCATGTTTTATATTATTTAGACAACCGGCAATTCACATTTTAGAAAACTGTTGATGAATATTTAACAGAACATTCTTTTGAAGGACAATGGTCAGACCTATGTGATGGTCCCCATGTGATGGAAAAATCCTCTTCAACCCCAGAGTTGTGCAAAAATATATGTGGGGCTGACACTGTGGGTTTTTTTTTTTTGCTATTCTCATTTTTTATTATTTGTCACTAAAGAACCTTCTATAGCTTTTGAGGAACTGTAGGTCTCCCTGGATGCATTATGAATGCCAGTGCACTAGCTAAGTCAGCATTATACAGTTAGATATTTGTTGCAGTTAATTCATTTGGAAACAATGAGAACATATACTACAACCGAGTTCAACTGGGGCTACTTTCTAGGGAGATCTTCTAATAACACAGCCTAGTGCTGGTCCTGGATGGAACTTCTGACCTTTTCCCAAATTAGACACGGGCAAACCATCATAACTGTAATCCCAATGCACAGCAAATGGCTTTTTACTAACTGTGCACCAACCATTGCCCCCCTATCTTATTGTCAGTTAGTGTTAATTGTTAGTACTATGTCTGGCATCTAATGGTTGCCTTCTGTAAGCTGCCTGAGCCCCCCCCCCCCCCCCCCCCGGGGTGGTGGTGGTGGTGATAAGGGCAGGGCACAAATGCTTGAAATAGATTAATTAAATATCTGTCCTGAAACAGCCCTGAAAGCATAGAGAGTTGCTGGTGCCATTTATCCTAATTTAAGTGTAATAATGAACTATGGCTAGCTGTATTAAAAATAAAATTTCAATCACCCAAAAAGACAAGCTTGTAAAAATATGGAAAAAATAACTGCACACATTTTTATATTTTTATAAATGGGTTAAAATGTTACTTTAACTGTAATATGATTGTAAGACAAGGCATTTCATATTTTGCATAATGTTAGTTGTTAATTTGTTTTTTGGTACGACATGGAGAGTGAATCCTATTAAAATGAACAGTTTCTGCCAGAAGATAACTATAATGACATCCTCTCTAGGAATTTGCTAGGTCTTCCAGGGTTACTGTATGGCAACTTGCAGTAGAAGTATATCATGTAATCACATAGAGGGTCTAGAAAATGCCTAGAGATGACATATTTTGCTAGATGAGGGTAGATGAAACTGTAGGTGAAACTAACAACAGATATGCCATCTTACATTTGTTTACAGATAAAAAGTTTTTTTCTCTTTGAAGTAATTCTAATGAATTACCTTTAAAAGTAATATTGACAAATTTTAATGTTGAAAAGGGATGCCCATAAGCCTAAAATTCATCCATGTAGTAAGAAAGTATAATTCAGTGTTAGGTCCCAATGAAAACATTTATTCTTGCGTCATTTCTACAACATTAAATTGGTTCATCTTAAAAACTCCCCCCTTACCTGCCACTGCTGCATTACAAACATTTTGGTGATTCTATTACTGTCAAGAAAATCTCACAGCACAGCTAATGTAAAGCCATTGAATTTGATCTACATTTTCTGCTTAAACAAGTCAAAATTCACATGTAAGTATAATGGTAAACAACTCCTCTCAGTTCTTAACAACAACAAAAAACCCAAGCCAATGGCTTCTGAGACTGAGGGGCTATTATCTTTATGGCCTGCTTTTCACCTTCACAGAGGAATTTCTCTGACCACTCCTGGAAATGGAACATTGTATTATCTGGACAATTATTATGATCCCACCTTCTTTCCACACAAGAGTAATTTGCAAATGTAATGCAGATTTACACATAATGAACATGTAATGTTGTTGTATAATGAGGATTTATGTTATTATTTTCGTACTACCCATTCATTTTCATTATAGCTTCTGAAGTAACCAAATAAAGGGAATGTGGTCATTAGCATAATCATTACCTGCACTGCTCTTGAATATTCATTTCCATCTTTCATTTAGATAGGGTGTTCAGACAATTAAATAGAAGGGTTGACTGCCAATGACTTATTAGTTTCAGGTGTAGAGAGATGTAAAGTTGGGTGTTAGGGTGAGAAAGTGGGAGAATGACAAAAAAGTACTGACAGCTTAGCAGTTCAACCAACAAGTAAGTTTTCCTATGCTCAAGTACCACTGAAATTCCAAAGACATTTTATGAGAAAGTATATATACTACTGAAGCTAATTTTCCTTGTATGCTGTTACTTTGCAATGAATATGTTGTAATCAGAGTGGAAAGGAACACAGTTAAGTTGGACTTTATTATTATTATTTGAAAAACAACAAGATGTGTCCACAGCAGACACTCTGCTGGCTGTTGAATTGGATCACACGTTGGACACTTCCCAAGTGTCTAGGACTGTGTGATGTATCGGCAAATAATGCGTGCAGATCCCAGTAAGGTGGCCTTTTGCAGCTGGCAGATGGTAATCTTGTCAGTGCTGATTGTGTTTAAGTGCAAACCAAGGTCTTTAGGCACTGCACCCAGTGTGCCGATCACCACTGGGACCACCTTTACTGGCTTGTGCCACAGTCTTTGCAGTTCGATCTTTAAATCCTCATATCGTGTCATCTTTTCCAGTTGTTTTTCTTCAA